CCCCAAAACCCCAAAACCCCAAAACCCCAAAACCCCGAGTGGGAATTTGAATTGTTTGAAGTTAATTTCTAATATTCATACTTTCCCTTTTAAGACAATAAAAAATCCTTACCAAACCAACCCCATTCTAACCCCCAACTAACATATACCACCTCACCAACACCCAAATCCAACCCTCCACACCCCAAATCCCTTCCTCTCCACTCCCCAAAACCCCTCCATCCGATCAGACTCTGCCCGAGAAATTCCAGCTGAGCTACAATAAGAATTTAAGCCTAAGCTTATTACAGGCTATCAGTGGGAAGAGGAAGTTTAAAGGTCAAATTTTGGGGAAATTTATGTGAGATGAAGACGACTTTTGCGTAATAAGAAGGGGAGTTATTCCTCTGTGATGGTTTATAGGATGAGTGTTTTTAGTGTTAAAATGATAATTCTGATAGAGGGTAAAGATTATTGGGATTAATGAAAATAGTTATTTCCGTAGTTTTTGTCCTATGTCAGGTAAATTTTCAAGTAATTTAGGCTTGATTTTGCGAGTTATAGGAGGAGCTTTTCGGATTTGTATCTCTTTGTTCTGACTGTGTTGTTGTTGGATCCTCTTTCTGAACTCTTCTACTGAGAAATCTAGGGGATAAACCTCATAGACTTACCTGGTCTTTGGAAGACTTTATTCAATGGATTTCTGACATTATATGTCATTGGACCTATATCTTACCAACCAGAATTACCTCCTTCATCCAAGGTTGCCTTATCAAATTTCTTTTTCTTGCATGACTTGACTGTGGAATATATCAAAGCCGGAAAAATAATGAACCAGTTCATCAGGAAGAACACTATGATAACTCCAATGCATGCCCATCCGATTCTAGTTATTGAATTTGGATCACTTGTTTCAGTAAAGAGGTACAGGAGGCAAGTGAAAAGTACTAAAATGCATTCATTGCACACATTTAGAACATTGTTGGTTTGAGACACATATGGTTTTTCCAACACTCAGTAATAGAGCTGCCATGTGAACATGAACATTCACAAAACCAGCTGCTTCTTCGGGTCTTCTTTCATGCACACGATGACAAATGCAAACAACATTCTCCTGATCATGAAGAACCCGAAGTAGAGCAGTTGTTTGACTCTCTGTTTTTTGAAATCAACAAAAAACAGGCAATGCCTTTCGTGGGTGACAGGGTTCACTATGAATAGTCAAATGAAACACTTACTTTTGATGCCATCAAAGTGGTAGACTGGATAATAAATTCCGTAGACAGTCAAGAGGAAAATCCCAAAGAGAGTAAATACAGAAACTATGAATGCAATAATATCCTGAGTCGAATAAGTACTTCCATACCAAATATTGATCCATCAAGCAACAGAGAGATTGAGGATGAGCTCAACAGCAAACCTAGTTAGGGACTCATATCTGATAGATTTATCTACTTTCTTGATTCATCTTGCAGTTTTTGAGTTACTATCCTTAACTTTCTTGTAGAGGCAACTTAGTATAATTGCAGAAAATAGAAGAATTCAGATCATCCCAATCTTGTCAAAGCTGTTGACCAAGATGTTCGTTGACTCAAATCCAAGGTTTCCGAAGTTTGTACTCACTGGAGAGTTTATGAAGTTGACTCCAAAGAAGACCACAGAGGTTATGTATTTAGTCAGAGGGTTATCAAAATTGGAGTAAGCCATTATTTTGAATGTGTTTGCAAGATCTGATGGATATTCCAACTCAATCAGTCCCATAAAGAACAAAATCTGAAGAGTGTTAGCCAAACTCCACATTGTCTCTGCTGATCCACCAGTCAGCATACTGACTCCAAGAGAGGCTCCAACTGTAAACAAGAAAGTGTATGAAGCACCTTTCCCTGAGCTTTCGGATGACCCACTGACTGGAAATGCTGGTACAGTATGTATAAAAGCAACAGCTGAAAGCATTGGAATAGTTTCGTTTGACCTGAACTTTTCTATCTCTTGTAGGATCAGTGTAATCTTCTCTCCAATTCCTCCAACAAAAGGAGGTGATAAAGTCAATGTTACGATAAAGTTCTTCCCTAAAATAAGCTAGTTCAAGCTGATCAGGAGATCTTTGGAACTTACCTTCAAACTTAGTTGTGAATGTGAAGTCTATTTCTATTTCAGGGCTTTCGATGAAAATGACTACACTTGTATTCTTCATTTCTTGGTCCATCATTTCTTGATCGAACTCTACTGTAATGATGTTAGTCATCTGATCAAATGTAGAAGTTATTGGGACTGGCCTCGGGAACTCAGTCTCACAGACATCAGGCTTTCCTGAAACTTGTGTTCATATGTAATTAGTCTCAACTGTTCAGTCTTTAGATCATCCGTCAAAGTCCATATTATTACCATCATCACATGTTTCTCCATATTCAGGGTTCCTTTCAGAGTTTCCTCATGCAGGAGTTCAGTAGGAAGGCTGGTCAATAAAATTTTGTCAACTATACTTATACGTAATAGTTCAATCACTTTCTCAGCCATCTCCGCTACCTCTATTTCCATCATCACAAAGCTCAGTATCTGTTTGAAGAGTTCCGCTTCCACATGCAAGTTGGCAGTATGACTTATTACCTAGTGTAGGGTCTATTTCACAGATGTGTTTATCTTCAACTGTACAATACTTCGAACACCCATCACCATCATCTGTATTGCCGTCGTCACACTCTAACATTCTTGGGGACATCTGAACGGTACCATCTCCTCAGCGGTCGATACAGTGATAGTACACATCTCTAAATCCTTCAGAGCAGTACTCATGCTTCTTATGGGTTAAGTCCATGCAGATCTCAGGCTGGGCAGTGAAGTAGTTCTAAAAAATAAGACTACAAGTACGAGGCAAGCATTGTCTTCTTTTGACACTGTTTTCTGATCTGAACTGAACTTTTCTAAGTACCTAAACTTTAGTTATCATTCTATGGTTACAATCAGAATATTGCAAGAAATGAGATTAGTTCAAAAATTCTTTGAGTAACCAAAGACTTAGAAAGTTATTTAGAAACAGAGCTTAGCAAACAGTATTGATAATTAAACAAGCTGGATAAAGATCCTTGAGGTTTTAACTATCCTAAATGTTTTTATTCACTAATTCCTTCAAGTTTATCTGGATTTAGTTGACATTACAGCAGAAATATAAGAGGTCAAGTACACACGAGTAAATTAAGCATTAAGATTTATTTCAGAAATATTCACAAAAGTTTTGTATCATGGTTTGAAACTCTTTCACTAATTTTTAAGGTGTTAATATTTTTCATTGTTCTCATTAAAGTAAGAAATTGATGCATATTTAAAACTTTCAACTCAGTGTCTTTAATGTCAAAATAAAGTCAATGGATTGTCTTAAATAAAAAGAAAGTAATCATACTCTAAATTCTGAGCTCTTTTAGAGAGGAAATTGTCATATTCAAAGATAAATTTTAAGAGCTTATCATATTTCCTAACACAAAGAAGCTGTTGCTCATCTTCTAGCCCTATCATAAGCAATTTGATATAATTTTTAGCTTAGTTATATCTATGTTTTCACTCAAATTTCGATATTAAGCTACTATACATTGAATAAATCTGCTGTTGATAATCATATCCTGAGTTATCTGCCTCTTCATATTCTCCAAAATTATCTCAAGTATCCTTATTCATCGCCCATGGATAATACTTCAAATTCCTGATAATCCCCTAAAGATCATAGAAGGAGGCTTACTTGGAGGCTTTTGAACCTGATAGTCATTGTATTCTCCGTTGTAGAGACTGAAGCTAAAGCTTTAGACCCAGATCCATCTATCTGATGTTGGCTAAAATCTCAAGTAGTTGCTGAATCTATAGTTTGGAGTAACACATGAAGAACTAAAAGAGCTAAACATTAGCCTAAAGTCTCAGAGAGTATCAAAATTTATCAAAAACTATTCTCATTGAAGGCAATGGTAAATAAGCATAATAACAAAACAAGGTCATGGGCAGATGTAGAGAATCTGAAAAAGGTATCACTAGAACAAGCTAGAAAAAGTGTCAATGTAGTAGACCTAATTTGAACATAAACTCACTTTTTCATCAAGAATTTAGAAATATTTTCTGAAAGAAAGGGGTAAAATTAACATAAGAAATTTTTCTTAAATAAAATAAAAAGTAAGGTGAATTACTGTGGACTTGGTCTCTTAAGGTTTCTTGACCCATGGCAAGCATTATTATATCATTGTTATCTTCATAGGTGTATGAATACATTACCTAGGGGTTAATATTTACCTACTCTGGTCCATTTGGACCCATGCACACCAGGCATGTCTCTCATTGTATCCTTGGAGCCTGCTCGCATCCGGTGATGATAGTTCGTCCTACAGTTGATGGGAATATCTCTTACCAATATTGCTTTGAATCACTGCTTTCATCAAACCATGGGAACATCCAGAAGACAGTGTCGTGATTAAACTTGAGGTACTCAAACTCAATTGTGAACTGCATCGCATTATTGAATGGAAATGGCTCTGTCATCATCCAGCTATCTTTATACAGACTGACCCATCCATTATTGGTTGGATAAACCACTCTGGTATTGTCAGCATTGTAGAAAGTGAAATCAGCTGAACCTGTGTCTTTCTGAATCTTTTCATATGAGATTACTTTGTACTCATCGTAGCTGTTGTATTCATCATTAAGTGGCCAATAGTATTGATATAGCTATCAAGATGAGGGTTTCCTTACCTTCGCTGAGTTCTCGATCAAATTATTTCTATAATATTACTTCAACTTAGTACCTTGTTAATGTATCTGGATACCCACAAAAACTAATATCATCACAGATTGCAAATCTATCGATCATGCCAGTGAAGGGATTTGAGACACTGCCAACATTGAACTGCCCTATAATGGCTTCTGGGTCATTTGCATTATTTGAAAAGGTAGCATCTAGATCTGTCCTATTGAGAAACCCTCCATCTGTATCTGCAGTAGCACCTACAAGAGGTTAAGTGCCATTAAGAATAATGGAAATATCCAAGTGGCCTCTAATTCTCAGATCATAGATCAACAGAACTTATCAATGGGAAGGAAATCTTACTAAAACTGAAAGTGTATAAGTTTGCAGCTCCTGCATCATAGGCAATTGAGAGCCTGAATGCGTGCCATCCACTCAGTCTTACACCTATACATGGTTATACTTGTTATTGGATCTTTAAATTTTAGATATTTTTATCCTTGGAAACGCCCTAAAAGACTTCAGGCTGTTTTTGAGATCAAAGGACCTTCCAACAGCATTATATGCTAGAAATATTGGCTTCCTTACGCTCATAAAATCAGATTGAAGGAATTCATGAAACATGAAATATTAATTTTTGGCAATAAAGAGATTAACAAAGAACTATTTGTGTCCATCTAGATGCTCATAATATTCTTTGGAAGTAAACCTTCCCTAAATTTGCCTTATGTCTTAAAACATTTAGAAATAATAGCTCTGATTTGGTCTGATCTCGAGCTAAAAGAAACTAAAAGGAGTTCAAACCTCATGTTAATATTTCAGATTTTAAATAAACCGACTGATGAATAGACCAATTTCTTAATTAATTTGGTCAGAATGAAATTTTCAAATTAAAAAGATTTTTAAAGAGGGAGCCGACATATTACAAAGCTTTATTCAAACTTTAGTTATCAGTAGATATACTAGCTATTATTACATTTATTATTTCTTTGACTTACCTGTTATGGTTGCTTGATTTACAAATCTTTCATCTCCATCATAGAGTTCTGAAGTGACGGTAAAATTATCGCCTTGAACAAATAGGATACACCATTTAGGTATAAACCCTACAGACCCTCCATTTGTTGTAATACTTATGGGGATGCAGAACAAGCTATATAAAATTTAGAGCAACAATACTTCTGAGTTCTGTCACGAAATATGTATAGCTCAGTGTACACAGAATATGCGTCATTGGAGAAGGATACTTGGGTTATTGAAATCTTGTGCTGGTGGTTCATGACTAGGAGGCCAGCCGTTGGTCTTGTGAGGGAGGGAGTCGAGATTGAAGGAAGGTAGATGTACTGTCTATGAGGGGTTGAGAGATTAGTAGTTTAGTACCTTAGGTCCTCGATACTATAGAGTTTAGTTAGATTTTCTAGGGGCTTACGTTATGTTGACATCGGTTGCATTTCCACTGAAGATTAGGTCTGTTCCTGGAGGGGCATTAAATTCCCAATTGTAGATCAGTGAGAATCATGGGTATAGCATAATGATGAAGAATAGGAAGCAAAACAAAGTCTTGTTATCACTTCGTAGAATAGCTGACATTTTCTAATATTAAAAAAGAGTATTAAGATCAAATAAAATAGTACCCAAAGGGGTTTTGGGGTTTTGGGGTTTTGGGG